TGCTCCCTGTCTGTTTGAATAGCTTTCTCTAGGTGTGTTTGCCAGTGGCTGTTAGCTCAGAAAGTGAACTTTCCGGTTTGTCTCTAATGCGTTGGCTTCTTCCCAGTGCAAAGATGTGGATTGTGGAGGTTCCAGCACCAAATGGAGCTGAATTATTCATGTCTGACTGTGTGTGTGCAGCATTCCCCAGTGGATAACTGTCTCCCTGAAGAACCTCTGCTCCAGGCCCTCTCTTAAAATGCCTTGTTGGCAGGTTTCCAGCCTCACAGGTGACCGCATGCCTTTTCTGTTGTGTAGGGATCAAGCCTGCAATGGGAGGAGGTGCGGGGAAAACTAGCTGTGGCTGCATAAGCCTCTTCACTGTTTTCTGTGGTTCTGTGATTTCTTTGTCTCTTATCCTTCTCCCAGAGGAGGCAGAGTTTCTGATGGGCACCTAATGGGGGCAACTTGCCAGGAACCAGAGGGCTGTGCATAATGGGCATCAGTAATCAAGTTGTAATGAGAGTCTTCCTGAGTATGGAGGTGCAGCCTGTGATGAGTACAGGTCCCGGCATGCACCGCTTGCTCTGCCTCAGAGCGTGTGTTGCAGCCCGGACCTGTAGTCTGCACAGGCTGCATTCTCTGTGTCGGTAAAGGTGTCCACAGAGCCAGACTGTGTTAGTGTCTCCTGATGTGTGTACTGGAAATTCCATATGTCCTCTAGTTCAGTTGTCAGCCAGCACAGTGTGAGGGGTGGACGTGATCAGCGCCCCCTGAAGTTCTCTGCTTTGTCTTGTTTGCAGGGGTTTTCTCTTCTTTCTCCATGCTGGGGGACAAGTCCTGCCTTCAGTTACACTAGTACAATCTCATGGGCGTCCGTTGGGTTGCATGGGTGAGGCAGAGGGCACAGTGTGCATTGGGTAGTGTAGCTTGAAAAGGAGCATTTTCATGTGGGCAGACCTGCCCCTGCTGGGCACCAGCTCATCAGCTTTTGCAGGCTGCCATAGATAAAATGCCAGTGGCTCCTAGTTGCTTGGCTGCTGTGAGTCTCACTGAGCAACTGACCCTCTGAGGGCTATGTGTGCGTTCATTCCAGCTCTGCCCTGAATCTGTGATACTCTTCTTAGGCTGAGAAGCCACATCGGTGAGCTGGCAGCTCTTCATCAATGGGTTGCTCCGTTGGAGTGGGACCAAATCACTTACCATCTGATGGCTAAGGTTAAGTTGGAACCTGGAGGGTAGAAATTGGGGGGTGATTGGGACTGAATGATCGTGCTGAGATGGAGAGGGCTGCTTTAGTTTAGCTGTCAAGTCATTCTGTGTACATAAGAGATAGTGGTGCAGGATAGCATAAAGGGATCTCAGGCCCTGTGAATTGCTCCCCTGGGGTGGCTCTAAAACATCCCTGCTGTTGGATGCCGGGGAAGATTTTCTCTAGTGAGTGAGGTGTCTCCATCTCCCTTTCAGCTGGGTTCTTGCCTGAATAGCACTTGGAGTTACTTTGCTTTTCCTACCTTTAAAAATACAGTTGAGAGGGCATAGAAATGAATCAAGCAGGAAGCTCTCTGATCCCATCATAGTGGCCAAGAGCAAAGCACAGGCTATGGAGCTGTACATGCGCTGTCCTTATTGTAACATGGCCATGTGAACTACAGGTCCCAGCATGCAATGCTCACTCTTGGTTACATGGCCTTACCCTCGCATCAACATGGAGTGTTGCATGCTGGGACTAGTAGTTTTTACAGGCTGCACCTCAGTATCAAAAGGAGGGGGGACAGCTACTATGTGGTCTGTTAGACATGAATCAGGTGCAGTCCCTTGGAGTCCAGACAAACTGTTTAAGAGGCCGTTGGCGTAGGGTAACTATTGGGCTCCCCGATGGGGGGGCTGGTCTGTATTTCACCAATAGTGCCCCATAGCCATCATCACCCAGCAAAACCTTGGTCTGCATGTGCCGTTCTGCACGTGGGAGGAACAGAGGCTTTTGGGCAAAGGTCTGTTACTATATTTGTTATCTCTGAAGTGACCTGGTGGGATATCGTGCCCCCGGTCCTTGGGCTGATCCCATCCCCAAGAGGGGCCTTTGTGGTCTAACAGCTTGGGCAGTCAAACTCATTATTGGCCTTGTGCATCTGGACAAAGAAATTGCTGAGGGCTGGCAGTACAAAGGCGATTCTCTGTACGTGGCGCCTGTGGTGGCCAGGAGCTGGGGGCTGGCAGGGAGGTTTTGTGCCGCTTTGGATGTGAAGAGCTTCTCCTTGTTTTGGAGGGAGGCTGGGGGGAGTGAGGTGAATTGATCATTGCACATCTCCGTCCCTCCCCCAAGCTGATCCGTGCAGGGAGCAGCCTGTTTGTGATCTCAGCTGGAGGAACAAAGCACAAATGGCACTATCTGGCAGGGATGGATCGGGAAAGTGGCTGTAGAGAGGCAGGTAGATCTGAGCAGCTGGTGGGTTAGAGCTGAGGATGCTGACTGTTGTGCATGCTCCAAGCTGGGAAGTGGGTTACCCGGGGTGGGGGTGGGGGGCTGGGGCAAGGGAAGAGGGAGGGAAGAACGCACATGGCGGCTTTTGAAAGCTGTTAGTGACTCCAATGCTGCATGCAGCGTTCTCCTGATTCTGCACTTTCTCTGCCATTGAAACAAGAGGTCAGTGCTTTTCATTTCCAGCTCGCGTGTTAGCCCCTGGCTCCTGGGGTTAAAAATCTCTGTAATGACCTGTCAGAGAGTGGATTATTAGGTGTACAGAGCCAGGGATGCTGTGGGGAGCAGATGGAAAATGGTCTGGCTGCTGCAGCCTGTCTGATGAAAGACTCCTTGGCATTTTTACAGTGTTTGTGTCTCTGAAAACGCACCACGAAGCTGCTTTCCAGGCTCCTGCCTGCTGGGGTTTAAAAGAGAATGTATTTTTTTAAGTCACCTGCTTTTGGAGTGTTGCTCAGAAATAATACAGTGGATCTGTGGGCCGTGTGCTCAGCAGGAGGAGGAGGAGGAGGACAATGGCACTCAAGAGGAGCCGCATTGAGAGGGGCGGCCAAGGGTTTCTCAGGAGAGCCTGGAGAGGGGTTTGCTGGGGCTGAGAGCCTGGCTGCTGGGAAGAACACTGTTTCATGTGATAGTTATGTCTGGTAATGCAATTGCCACTAGCTACTTTCCATGAGTGACTCGGGGGCTTTTTCTCCCCTTGCTACACAATTGCTTCCAGGGAAATGTGCAGTGCAGAGGTCTGAGTGTCTGCCCTGGCTTTAGGGCGTTCTAGGGATGAGGGAGAGAATGCTAGGTCTGACTGGGGGGGCAGCAGAGCGTGGGCATGTGCAGTGACAGCTTCCTGCATGCAGTGCTGCTAGTGCCCCTCAGACCTGATCTCAGCCCTGGCTCCTACACAACACTGCCCATACCCCTCAGTCCTGACCTGCAATCCCCCTGCTATTCCAGCCCTGAGCTCCCCCTACCTCTGCTGCAGTTCTGCCAATGCCCTTCAGTCCTCACCTGGAAGCCCCCACTCCTCTTCTGGCCTTGGGCCTCTCCTGATCAGTCAGTTGTGCTGGGTATTGTGTGGTGGCTTTCGAGTGTGGGAGCTCTAAAGTGAGCTGACATGTTGTGGTCTGTCACTGGAGATCGGAGGTGAGCTCTGAGCTCTGGGGACAGAAATCTAGTCCCTGCCATTTGGCCCCGGCTGATCCCGGTGGCTCTCACCTGGCTTTAACACTGCTCATTCTGAGGCTAGATGTCGGATTCCCACCAGGGCACTAAATTTCCCTGGTAGGTGACTCTGGTCTCATGCTGCAAAGTGTGTGTGGGGCACACTGCTCTGATCAAGGTCCCCAAACGCCACACCTGGCCCTGGGGGGCACAGAGGGGAGGGGTCTGCCTCCATCCCGGGCCTGCGTGCAGGGAGTGCTCAGTAATTCAGAGGGAAGTGGCAAGCAGGGAGCGAGTGAGTAATGTCTTGTTGACGCTGAGAGCTGTGACCTGCCGGGGCCTGTATCGATTGAGGGAGTGGTGCCAGATGGCGGCTTCCACAGGGACAGCCAGGGTGCTAGGGCCTCTTCCGAGGAGCCCCGCGTTGGGACCCTGTGAGGGGCCAGCAGGATGGCGTGGTGGGGCTGTGGCAGCCAGAGGGCAGGCTGGTGAGTTTCATGTAGCAGATCACTTTTCCAGGGCAGTGACTGTGGTAGGGGCTGGAGGGATGGGGTGTTGCGGATTGTTCCCCGCACAGGCAGTGGGCTCTGGTCAGCTTCAGTGTCTGAAATTGTGTACGTTCATGTGAGTGTTTCTTTGGGGTGAAACAAGATAGGTGTGGGCAGCTGTGCCCATGGGCTCGCGTGGGCTGGTAATAGAGCACAGGCCCCTGCGTCTGTCATGGGGTGTGTTTGTGTGTGTGAGAGAGAGTGTGTGAGAGAGAGTGTGTGTGTGTGTGTGTGTGACAGCGTGTGAGGGCGAGTTTAGCTCCCTGTGTCTGTGGTGGTGAGTGTGAGTGACCGTGTGTGTGTGTGTGTGTATGTGTGTGTGTGTATCTCGAATGCAGGCTTCCTGTGTCTGTGGTGGGGTGTGTGTGTGTGTGTGTGAGAGAGAGAGAGAGAGAGAGATGGGAGACGGGTGAGATCAGGCCCCATGTATCTGTGGTGGGGTGTGTGTGTGTATGTAAGAGAGGGGGTGAGTTCAGGCTCCGTGTCTGAGGTGTGCATGTGACTGTGTGTGTGTGTGTGTGAGAGTGGATTCAGACTCTGTGTCTGGTGGTGGTGTGGGGAGTTCAGGCTCTTTGTCTCTGGTGGTGTGTGTGAGTGAGAGACAGCGTGTGTGTGAGTGTTCAGGCTCCGTGTGTCTGTGGTTGTGTGTGTGTGTGTGTGAGAGAGAGAGAAAGAGGTGGGGGGGAGTTCAGGGTCCATGTGTCTGTGGTGGTGCACAGGTACCTGTTGAGTCCCTGTAGTGGTGAAGGTGTGTATGCCTGTTCCAGGAAGATCACTCAAACAGGCTTCCCCGTGCTGCTCCGTGTAACACCTGTTCTTGCTCTCCCTTTCAGCGATGATGCCCTCACCTGGGCAGACCCTGACCACTGGAGGCCTGAGCACATAGCTGCAGCTGCTGCCTGGGATCCAGAGGCGTGGAGGCGGGGAAGAGCCTGGAACTCTGAGGTGGGCTGTGAACTCTAAGATGTCCTTGAGCAGCGGAGTTTCCGGAGGGAAAGGAGTGGATGCGAACCCTGTTGAGACGTACGACAGTGGGGATGAGTGGGACATTGGAGTAGGGAACCTCATCATTGACCTGGACGCTGACTTGGAGAAGGACCAGCAGAAATTGGAAATGTCGGGCTCCAAAGAGGTGGGGTTGCCGGCGCCCAACGCTGTGGCCACGCTGCCTGATAACATCAAGTTTGTGACTCCGGTGCCGGGCCCTCAGGGCAAGGAGGGCAAGTCCAAATCCAAGAGGAGCAAGAGTGGCAAGGACAGTGGCAAGCCAGCCCCAGGAACCTCTCTGTTCACTCCAGGCGAGGGGGCCAGTGGCAAGAAGGAGGTTCAGGGACGCTCTGGGGATGGCGCCAGTTCGGGCGGCTTGGTAGCTGCTGTCATCCCGAAGGGCACTGAGAAGTCGGCCAAAGCATCTCGCAGCGTGGCCAGCTCCAAAAAGGAGAAGGAGGGCAGCTCATCCAAGAGCAAGAAGGAAAGGAGTGAGGGTGTGGGGGCTCCATCAGAGAAGGAGCCCAGCGTGCTCCAGCCTCTCGCCCTGGCTGTGAGGGTGGGACAGTACGATGCGGGCCAAGGGCCAGAACCTGCTGCAGCCGAGCAGCTCGGGAATATAGCTATTGACACGGGAGCTGCGCTCAATCCTTTGGGAGTTAAATCGGAGATGGAGGATGGGGAAAGTGAGTGCCGGCAGCCGAAAAAGGTCAAAGCAGAGAAGGTAAGAGGCAGGCGAGTTGCCACCCTGCTGGGGTGGGGTGGAGGGACATTGCTGTGGAGAACAGGCAGCCTACGCAGCCCCATGTCTGCTTCCCATTCCAGTGGAGCGGTGCTCTGTACGTGTTCTTCCCCTAATGCTTTGCCAGGAGCAGTGGGACTGCTCCCCTTCAGCAGCAGGAGATGGAGGCAGTTGCTTCCAGTGTCCTCTAGAATGCACAGGACTTGCTGCGTGTGCTACACTAGGTTCTGGTGAGCTGTAACGGGAGGAACTGGGAACAGCAAAACGTAGGCTGTATTTTGGGCAAGTTGCTTGCCAGCAAGATGCGTTGGGCCATGAAATGGCTCCCTGGGCCAGGGGTGGAAGCTGGTTCTGGCCTCTTTAAAATGGACTGTACAGTGAAGAACTGTCCTTCTTAGCCTCTGGGAGATGGGACTCTCCAGATCCCCAGTCCACAGCTTTGAGTCACAAGTGTTTGAGATGAGGGAAGAGCATCTTACCATCCATCCACTGGTCCTGTGTAGGATTGTTACTGACAGTCAAGGTCTGGTGTACTTTGCGGCAAGTGGGGAAGCCAGGATACATAGTTTGTGTTTCTTCAATGAGAAGAGGATGCAACTCTTTGCTTCCCCCTTTGTGGGAGGGCTGAAGGTGGCTTGAGCTCCTAGCTCCCCAGGAATCCTCAACATACATGAACGGCATGCCTGAATGCACCAGAACCTGTCATACTGGAGAGCTGTTCTGGGCAAATGGCTGCAGTTGAGGTTTGGAGCTAAGTAGGCTCTGCTGCTGATGGTACCACATGGGTGCTGTGCTGCCCTGGTCTCTGCTCCTCCCACAGATGAGCTTGGTTAATTGGTAACAAGGTATGCCAGCTTGTGGTGGCTTTGGCTTGGGGTGTTTGGGTGCAGGGCCCTGCGCTCTCCATTCCTCCTGCAGCCGAGCGGGGCAGATGGACTGGCTCTCTAAGCTGCCTGATTGGCCGGGGGCGCTCTGTGCAGGCTCACCTTGTGTGGAGCTGGTCCCAGCAGCTGATGTATAAATTGATTTCTCTATAATTACATCAGTTGCAGCAAGGGAGACTATGTCCATATGTAAGTGTTAATAAGGATAGAATCTGTCCCAGGGTGTGGCAGAGAAGCTGGAACTGGCCTGCTCTTGTCCCTGCAATGCCGGGTGGGGTCATGGGGCCTTGTTCTCCCTCTACCCAGGCCTGCAGTTTGTACATTGGCCTAGTGGTACCTGTTGTCATTGTCAGCGTGTGGGCATCAATATGTCTGTGGCTATGGGCAGTTTTCCATGTTAAATGCTATTTCGCATTGGCCTACCCTTGTGGCAGCTTTTAGAGATTATCACGGGTGAGCTGGCAGGGCTGTGCTGGGGGTGGGTGGGTATTGCCCCAAAACTACCCCCTTCTCTTTCAGATCAGCCTTAGGTGCTAAGATTCTGTTGCTGCTCCTGGCAACAAACACGTCTGGCTCTGGAGCTAATCCGTCCACAAAGTGGGGCTGTGGAAAATTGCGGGCTTTCTTCCTGCGCAGTTCCATGATCCTGCTGCCTTGTTCCTGCTCGTATGATCTTAGATTGCTGTGACACCAGTGGGAAAGCTGCTTCCTCTGGCTGCCATATGCAAGTAGTTTAACTCTTGAGTGGCCTTGTCCTTGCAAGATCTCTACTGCAGAGTGCAGGATGAGCTGATACAGCTCTTTGGAGGCATAAGACCATTCCAAGACCTGGCTCTAGAGGCTTGTCTGCACTAGACAATTTGGACATTACCACCACTGCTGCAACCCTCTAGCACACCCATAAAGCACCACATGGCCGCACACAAGCACTTGCAGTGGTGGTGGCCAAGCCTGTGCACCACCACTGGGCTTGTGCTGGCCCTGAACATCCTGTGGAAGAAACCGAATATGGTGCAGAAAGATCATATAAACCACACGCCAGCTCCAGGGAGCGGTGCCATGGTTTGTAGACCAGGTGCAATGGTCCCAGGCCTGGCAGTGTGTGGAGGAAGTGCTGCGTGTGGGTTCAGTGTGGGCACTTGGAGAAAGAGGCCCACTGGAGTGAGTTGCAGTGCTCCACTTCGAGCGTGGCTGCAGCCTCCAGTCCCCAAGCAGGTGTTTCTGCTGATCAAATCCATGCTCTCAAAACTTGACTATCTTCTTTCAGGAGCCAGGTAGAATCTGTGTGCGTGGGGGGTGGGAGCAGCTAACGCTAGGTGGCTGTGAGAGCTGCTGAGGCCCTGCCTCATTCAAAGGGCTTTATGGAGCAGGCTGCTTGGTGCTGCTGCGGAAATAAGTCCCAGGCAAAACCTTTAAGCTGGAGCCCAGCTTATCAATGCCTCTGGTACTCAAGGATGGAAACGTAAGTGACCTACAAGGGGGAAAAGACATGGGGTTGTGCCCTTTGTCATGTCCCTCTGATGGATTAAGCGGCCTAAAATGTTTCTCCTGCACTTTTTTTCTGATTGTTTCCATTAGGAGTTCAGCCTTTGAGTCTGCTTGCAGGGAATCGTCCTGGTGAAAAGCTCGTCCCTCTAGACGAGAGTGGCTGGGGACACAGGCAGGAGCAATGGCTGTAAGACGGGATATTTTACTGGGATAGCAATGTCAGTTTGGGGGAGGAGGGGAGGGTGTTTACTGATCTAGTTATACTGGTACAGCCCCTCAAGTGGGTGCATTTATATCCGCATAGCTCATTCCCCTTCCATACCGGGATAAGCGATCCCAGTATAAACGCTTATAAATGGCTGTAACTGCATCCACACTATGGTGGGGTAGGGGCTGTAATTAGAGTTAGTCTTTTGGCTGTAGACAAGGCCTTGGGAGCTGGAGTTCCATTTTCAGAAGTGACTTAGGTGCCTCAGTCTCTGTGAATGTAGGTGAGTTTAGGCGCCTAGGTCATTTAGGGACATTAGAAAATTCTACCTGGTCTCATTTGGCTCAGACTTGACAGAAACTCCCCAGTGCAAGGCCTCAGCTGTGAAATGTTAGATGGTTTTGTTTAGGTTTGGCATTGCTGGAGGGAGGGTAAAACATAGAGGCTTAGAATGGGAGGTGCAGAGACACCCCTTAAAGCTGGGAGTGTGGGTGGACAGATGGCTGGGCAGCCTGCTCTCGGAGTCCCTTGGCTATGAGTAGCTTTCCCTGGCCAATGACAGTCAGTGTGAAACAGGTTTGGCCCAGCGATTGTCAGAGGCTCATGTTCTGTGGGGTGAAGGCTAGGGCTGGGGATCCTGTGGGTGATGAAGGTCTTGAAAAGAGGGCTGCAGACAGCATGGGGAGAACATGAGAGGGCGTCTGCTCCTGAGAGAAGGGAGTATGCCCGCGATGGACGAACAGGGCCTCGGGAACTGGCTGTCCTCAAAAGCTGCAAAGTTTTGCAGTAAAAGGGCTTGTTCCGAATCAGTGTGTCAGGCTCTGTGGAGACCGAGTGGAGAGCAGAACCGACTGAAGGGGGGACTGGTGGGTAGCAGGAACGGGTACGTGTTCCTACCGGACCCCTGTGCAGCTCCCTGCATAGCAGGGGCAGGATTGAGAATGTTATATTGCCCACTTTGCAGGATCAAATGAGCCCAGGGGTGCTCTCCCAGCATCCTGTGTGTCCCCACGAGTTGCAAGTGTGGAACCTTTGTTTATGCTCCCAAATGCGCACAGCCCGGACAGGGTTGGGGTATGGTGTGCTGTTATGGTTTGCTCTGCCCGGGCACCAGCCAGCCTTCATGGGCAGGCCTGGACAGCTTGGGAACGCATGGTTGTTCTTGGGGAGAGGGTTTACCCAGCAGAACAGCTGTGCACAGTGAGAAATGGCCTGCAGGCTCTGAGGGGTTGTTTGCCGGGTGAGCTGCCGCCCAGTCACTGGGGATGGCTCACTGGGCTGGGCTAGGAAGGGTAGTGAATGACGGATGTCTGTGTGGCGCTGCTCCCTCCGCCCTCCCTTTACTCATCATCTGTCCATGGCAAGCCCTTGCCACTCTCTCTCTGCCCCTGCTGCCGCCGTGGCTGGCGGCTGCTCCAGTGCTGAGCTCGCTGCTCTGTCTGCACAGAGCCCAAGGGGGAGGGGGAGGCGCATCCCGGCAGATGCTGCCTGCTGCCATTGTCAGCGCAGCCCTTTGGAGCTGCCTCCTTCCTTCTGCTCCCCTCTCCACACGGGGGATGGGGTGGGAGGGGATATTGAGCATTAAACAAAAGCGCCTCCCAGCTCTGCGCCGCTGCCCTGGCTTTGTTTTGATTGAGAGCTTGTTGAGCAGGATGAGTGGCCAGATGTGACGCTGCTGCAAATGAAGAAAAGGCAAACATCAGCGGCTGGGAAGTCCGCGCTAGAGAAACCCCTCTCCATATTGTGTGTGTATAGGCGCAGGGTGAGGGCTCATCACCCTTCCCTTCAAGGCCTGTGGTTACGGGGCTGCAGATGGATGTGCCACCCCCCCCCCCCCAGGTGAGCTCCCATGCTGTCAGAGCTCAGGTGGCATCTGCACTAGCCTTCTCCCCCCAGGTCACCCACCATTGCTGATACTGAAGGGATGGGGAAATCTTACAGTGGGGGAGAAGCTGGAGTAGGCAAGGCCTATAATACGTTAGCCATATGAACACATGGCTGAGGCTCAGCTGTGCCATTGCACGATTCCCTCTTGCCGGCATGGGGCACCTCCGTGTTCAGGGGCTGGGGTGGGTGCATCTGTTTTGGGAAGCTGAGTGCCCATCTTACAGGAACAGCTAGCAGGGATGCACTATAGGGGATGTATCTCTGTTGGGTGAATTTCTCAGTTGTGCAGTTGGGAACGGGCTGGCAATATTAGCGTTAGATGGTTAGCTGCAGTGGTGCTAAGCAGCTTGCTCGGAGCAGGCTTCCTTGACCCATGCCCAGTCTACACTAGGACTTCCATTTGTTGAACTGGCGGCCTCAGGCAGCTGTTCTGATGCAGGCAGCTTTTCTTTCTAATATATACACACAGGCAGAAAAGGTGCTTCCTGAACATGGCTGTAAAGCTTTGTTCTTGT